CACGCAGTCGCGTGGTTACGGTATCTCCCTTCGGTATCCCCCTTCCGATACTGGCTTCTTCTGCAGAAGTGATCAAAGTTCGCTAACTCGTAACAGGGAGGATGTGCACGCTTATCGAAGAGACTGATATACTGCGCGGTACAAAAGAACACCTTTGTAGCTCTACATTAAAAATAAGAAGGGGCTGAAATTTAAGCTGATTGGCGGTAGAGGAAGATAGGCGGCTCGTAATGGGTTCTAGATGGTAAGGTGAAAGAATTTTTCATACCGCCGAATACTATCCAAAGAATTGCATCTCTTTTCTAAATACTATATCACTATACCTCATTACTATACCTCACCGAATGCTGTACCAACTATAAGATCTCTTCTCCTTTGAAGGCCCTCAAAGCATTTTCCACTGACCACGGATCACTAAATAAAAATAATAATTCTCGAAACCTGACACAATAACGTGCAACAATGCTCGATAAATGTCATATCATTGACTGCTGATGCAGTGGCGGATGGATACCGTTTTGATTTGCATCAATTACTGACTGGGGGGTTGTCAGAACACCCTCGCACACTCTGCCAGCGCCACCGTCACCATGACTCATGTGAGGAATTGCCCCAAAGACGAGTGGTCATTTCTGATATATAAACGATTCATCCCTCTTAAATTGTTCCAGGTATTAGCGATTCATCCTACGCCATATAAACGGACGGTCATCTTCTATCAATCTGTTTCCCAGACCCACCTCAACCCGTACTTCTATCACACCGAGCGACCATAGAGTCATGCGATTCACGATGTGTTCTAACTGCCATCGCGCCATTGATGCAGACCCGAAGCCAACGCCGCATAGTCAGCCCGATGGTGGACTCCGGTGTCCAGATAAAGCAGAAGCCCTCTGAATTGGTCCTTTCTGCCCTTGCGACCTGCTTGATCTAGAACAACAGGCTTTTCATATCGAGGTTGAGCATCCGCTTCTGCTTCAAGAGTGTTGGCATGGACTTGGTCGAATTCATGCGGGCTGGTATGGCGGAAAGCGAAAGGAAAGATAGGTAAGATACGGAGCCCCTATCTCACAATTTGTAGTGCTGAGTGCCATGGGGCCGCACAAGGCAATGCTAACTAGGAGCAGGCTACCAATTAGTTCCCTTGGCCCTTACTCACCAAGGTGGCGCGACATGGGAAAGAAAAGTTCGGATAGTATATCGACACAGCTTTCTAGACAGAAACGATCGGCGAAAGGGCGCAGAAACCAATCCAAGACAGAGGACCAGATAAACATTCAACTGTAAACTTGAAGTTGAGACGTACGAGACGCCGTCTAAATTGAGCAAATCCCGCCACGGTCAACATCAATCTGAAAGGGGATTCTCACTTCTACCATTCTTCGTTGTTGAAACGTCGGCGGGGCTAGCTCAGTGACGAAATCAGACAAGCCCGATTTCGGTTATAGTATCTTTGAATACCAGCTATGATTGGATTCATACAAATCTTTCTCATGAGGTAGCGCGGTAGGGGGCTGGCCTATCCTGAAATGTTACGCTTCCGAAGTTCCGAGACTAGATTACGTGAAAACGACCAATTCCCTCCACCGATTTGTGCACTTTCCGTGGATCCGAGGTCATTGTAAAGCGATTCACTTGGCGAGGATGACAGGAATAAAATGAAGTAAAATTCAATTTCCAAGACACCCTTGCCCCCTCCTCGATCTCAATTACGGCGCCGATAACGCAACGGTGGAATACTGGCAAACATTATGTATAGAGCGAGGAGATTGCAGCTCAACGGACAGTCTTTCTGGGCGTCGGAAGGCTGATGATGAGTCTTTAAATGCTCCTCGTTCCCCCGTCGAACTCACTGTATAGATAGGCGCTTGTAAATCTCTATATTGATCTGATTGGCTGACTGAGATCACATCGAAGAGGACAGGAAATCAAGTGTGTCTTATTCGAAGGTTTGGTTTACCAATAATATTTTTGCAACCGGATGAACTCGGTGTAACCCAGCAGCGAGTGGCCTCTGCTTCAAAAATCGCTTCAATTATCAGTGTTATAGCAAGTTTATATACTGATCGCCGTTGTGAAAGATTATCGTGAAAATTGGTGATAGAAGTGATGATATTGAATCCCGAATCTTCAAAAAATCCTGGCCGACGAAGTCGCTGGATACTCTTGCCCAAGGATTTTTTTAAGAACCCACGGGCGCTGCAAGAGTAGATACCCATCTAGACCCGAAACCCCTTGTATTTCTTTCTCATGGCCCCTTCCTTTTTCGATGCCTGCAAACTTTCGGTGGAGCGTTCTGTATGACCCTATACGGAGCATATATATAAATGATATATACTGGGATCCGACAGCGGCAGCTTAGATTCGACGTACCGTTTCCCTCTTAAATTTGTCTCTTGTGCAGGAACCGGGGTGCGCAGACCCAGGTCTCAGGACCCAGGAGGTTGGAGTGGTTTTCTCCTGCATAGACGGGACAGGTCGTATCTTCTTTGCAAAATCGATTTTGAGTCTCTCCTTTTTTCCCGATTGAAGTGTCGTTCAGTAGTCCGATCGATGCTGCCTCTGGCACCACCACTTCGATTAGCAACTTCCCCTTCATTGTCTTTCACTATTTCGAGTGTGTTCTACCGTCTCCTTTTTCCTTCTGTCAATCATATCTACAGCTACCTGAATTGTCTCTTTCGCTGCCTTACTCTCCCCGTAGGTCTGTAGGCTTTTCGTATTCCTACAATTCCTTCTTGGAATCAAGAGATGTTCCTTTGCGAGCCAAGAGATCACGCACATTTCAAGTCCTTCGAGCTAAGGAGGTCACGTGCTAGTCCCGGCGGAGTCTTGAAAGGAGCCTGAGGCGAAGATATAAGTCTCATAGTGCCTTCGTACTCATAGGTGCCTTCGTACATTCCGTCCGACCATCAATACACCACCTGCGTTATCCGTCCACGGGAGTCCTCAGACATTCTCTTTTCTGTCCCAGCCGATGAACTTAATTAAGTCAAAGTCTCTACATACCAGTGTTGCATTTCCATCTCATAGTGTAAGTTCGGTTCTGATAGCAATGCTTTTGGTCGATTCTTGATCAGCTCCACCTGACTGAGGCTTTCACAGTCTCTGTTACGTTGAGAAAGGTGGTGCTACAGATCGAACCTCGGTACAAGGCGATAGCTACCCAGCTTCTTTTCATGCCTATATCCAGGGTTCTCTGGTAGAACTATTCTTTGCCCCTGAGAATGCGACTGAAAAATTAGCGAACATATACAACGAATCGACACCTAACCAGCCATCTTCTTGCACGGCTTCACCAGTATCGCTCCTTATTCGATTTACCCACACTTATATCTTTCGTTCGACAAGCATACCATTCCAAACATCCAACACACCGAGGTATATTTCCCATCTACAAGGTAATATAGGATCTCTTCCAATGATAGACATCTTCTCCAAAGGCTATACTGATTCTATCCGACGATCCTCAAGACCACCTTACTGCCTCTGTCTTGTCTCCACGAAAGAAGTCTGGCTTTCAGCGCCAGGCACAGATCAGAGCGCTGTGTCGTACTTTCTGGGGGCATTTTTACGATATGATAAACCCACATCAGTGCCCGAAGAATACCGAGGCGGAGCTCAGCCTCGCTCTGTTCCTTGACTGTGCGCTGAGAATCTACGATGTGGAAAATCTGTCAATCCAAACAAGTGATTAGCCTAGCTCTTTGGCTGGCCTCTGCGTACAAACCTGGCTCAGACCTCAGCACCGAAGAAGACAATATCACCCAGTTGGTTCAATCCGAGTGTCGCTCAGTTGTACATGGGTTGAGGAGCCAGTCAAACTCGGTCCAACCTAGCTACGATTATATAGCGCTCTCAGTGTGAAGGGCTGTAGCAGAATTGATTCAATTGTACTAGGCCAACATGCTGTTTACAACAATCTCGAGGAAAGAAGGAAGAAGAGATAGGAGTCGGTCGCGGTACTTAAGAGTATCGATCCCGTCTCGGATAGAATCCTCTAGAACCTCGCTCGGAATCCTTCTGCCAAGACGATATCCGGAAGACCATGGCATATGGTTAATCACCGGGCTCTGGCCCGTCACACTCAGCTCCTAAGAATTCACCAGTCACGTAGCAAATCATTCTCTGGCTCGGATTAAATGCCTAAGTCACTTTAATTCACGCGATCATTACAGTCGTCTTAGTGGAATGACACGAAAAGGTTAGCTGGTTTCGGGTCTCCGGGTCAATGATTGGCCAATCAACTGATAACCCGAGGCCGTCGAGTAATCCCATTCAAGGACGCTTTGAGGCCATGGTTATTTTCAATGTATTTGGCATTCCTGGTTACATATTTAGAATTAAGGCTTTTGAACCAATCAGGTTCATTACGAGGAGGCTCTGAATCACGCGTTGGACTTTGTTGCTCTAATGAGCAGCTTCTGAGGATCCTTTGATTCGTCGTGATAATGATATGGTAAGCATCTAGTTGTCGTCGGAATGTCCACCAATCTCCCCGACGGGATGGCGAGGCCCACCTCTGCTGAAGACTGTGGACCTCTCTGCCGATCCTACCTAACCCTGAACAAAATTCTGCCAACCTAGGACTTTTCGAAGTGTAGCTGGTGGCGGTGCTGCCTAAGTCGTACTGGGCGGTGTGCTTTACTCTACATGCAAGGAAAAACCAGGGAAGACCAATCACAATGCTCATAGTGTACGACTACCGCCCACTTCGGATCATTTATGGAACTGACCGTGACACCAGCGCCGTAAGGGCTCCAGATCTCGATACTGATTCGTGGAGATCGGTCTCTCGTAGGCGCCCCGGAGTGGAATATCCAAGGGGCTGCGGGGTTTGGATTGGACGCCTTCAGAAGATGGTAACTCAGGTCCGGGTGGTACACTGCCCCCAGCCTTTCGCCTATTACTTGCTAACCTAATGCCGGTCCGTGTCCAGATTTCCTTCCCCTTATACTTCCCTTTTCTCTTCCCCTTTATGAGAATCCTTTCCATTGATGTTACACCACCACCATTCGGAAGACCTGTGTGCTTTCCACTGTTCGCGCCGCTCGTTCTGTCATCCCTGTGATTTCATAGGGTTCTCCGATCTCACTCATTTGAGAGACCTCGGATTGGACACATACCTGTGACCCGACCGTAGAAGCTCTTATGGTCTTGCCTCTGTCTTGCTCTTGTTCTTGATATCCATTCCACGAGCCACGGCCATTTTCATCGATCTCGAAGCCTGCGAGGGAGGAATACCCAGTTCGTGGAGGCATCTTGTTCATACTTGATTTGGAAACACGGCATACTTACAGGATAACCACTCCGCGATCGCCAAGCGGAAAAAGTTTCACGAAAAAAGTTCTCATTGATTGCTTGGATCCTACAATTCCATGCCGCCACGCTTCGCCCTGTATCGCCCGTGATACGAAAAACCACGTGGGATCAATTTCCCTTGCCATCAAACCTAATTTTCTCGAAAGAAAAGCAGCCTGTGAAGATTGGGTTTGCCGTTCACTGCCAGTATATTTGACGTTTCCTTCGCATAAAATCAACAAACGTGAAATACATCAGAAAAGTAATGACAAACTCTGTCCGTCCAATATACTCGAAAAGCTCCACTCGTCTGGCAAGACCCCCGCGTCGTCAGTCATAACTATTCAATTGGAACTCTCGGCTTACGGAACCGTCGTTTACCCTTCTGAGCTCTGGAAGTCCCTACGTTTGGCTGATAGGGAAGACGAGAGGTTCGCGGCCTTTGCAAGTATCTGTCGCTATAAGTCTCTACGTCTACATCTGATGTACCTACCGCTCACCGATGACCATCACGATCTCCTATCAGGCTTCTTCTCTCAAAAGGGCGAAAACTCAATGCAGGACGAGTCTTTTAATAATACTCGTCGCATTTATCTAGAAGAAAACTATACGAACCTGGATCAGGTGTTGCCACAACATTCGCCCCCAGACTACAATCAGTCCGTTTTTAAGCAAGCTGACAGTGATAGCTTGCCGCCGGCCTATGATGAGGATGACTTGGGGGTAGGAAACAAACGGCCCAGAGGTATCTTTCTAAATCACGGTTTGTTGTTCGCAAAGGCTCACGAGAAGTACTTAGAGTCCTATACACCCTCGCCCTATGATGACAAACGAAGAAGAGTGTCTAGTTCAAACCCTGTGAAATCATCGGATCAACTTGCAGAAATTATTGGATCACCCACGGAAGCCAATACACCTAGTGCCTGCACCCTTTCCCGTACAAAACTCACTCTTTGGATCTCCCACAGAACCCAATACACCCAGTGCCTACTCCCCATTGCCCAGAGAACCTGACACATCTAGTGCATGCTCACCATCGCCTAACCCAATCCGCCCTACAGACTTCAACCCTACCTCTTCTCTTGGTCGCAGAGAATGGGGGAAGCTGTATCCTTTTGTGAGGAAGATCCAGACGGAATTTGACGAACTAAAATGCGAGGTGTTTACTCTACCGGAGCGCTCTTGTTCACCGATCAATTCACCAGATACAGATCATGAACACGGGGTCGATTCCGAGTCAGGCAGAAACGATAACAGGCTCGATAGCGCTATTGTGCAAGCACTGAGAGCATACATCGACTCGACCATTCGACGCGAGGTCGAACATTTGGTCAATGACGCCAAGCGAAATATTAAAAAATATCTTGACTGAGCCATGGAGACGCTCTTAGAGGAGTCTTCCAATCAAATGTATGACTTGATCCAAGGGGCTGGAAGCGACCTTCGCGACCAAGCCGACGATTGCATGCTCGAAATTAGACACAACCACGGAGGGTCTGGAAGAATTGAAAGAAGAAATTTAAAAGTAAGCTCAGGCAGTGGATGATTATGTGACCGAAGGATTAGACACGATCGACGATAATGCAAGCCGGATGGCAAGGTATGTTGCGCACACAATTGTCTGTGTACAGTCATTCTCGAAATCGCGTTGACCCAACGTACACTGTGAAACTCTTTCCCGGCCCCACCGCCAAAGCCTCGGCGGGGATCATTCATTGAGCAGCTCGCATTAGGTTGAGGGGTCAGTAAAACGCGTCATGTCATATTGCATTGGGACGTAAGATTACATTTTCCGTACGATACGGAATCTCACGTTCATTCCATAGGATTCTCTAGCGGATCTCTGCTGTTTGGAAGGCCACCTGGCGCCGTCGGTGCATGGTACTAGCACCATGCAAAACTGTCGTATGTAGGATCTACAAATTGTCGTCGGTGGCAGGAAGACCTGCTCTTCCCCAACGGATTAGTGGCCCACTACGGAGTAGAACCACCTGTTTGTTTCCTTTGAAGCTGTTTACATGGCATGTGATTCTGCCACTCACCACAGTTCATAGCTTAGGTAGAATCTCTCCACCACAGCAATCTCGCTCCTCATCCCTCTCACACATCGATACTGCTGCCCCTACCGTAGCCGTATTTCATCATCCTTGACGCACATCACAACACAGCCTCGCAACAAAAACATCAACACCGACCATCTCTACACGGCAAGGCTCTCTGCTTACCTCTTCAAGAGGAATGGCTAATTTACCTAGTTACCTGCCGACCGGATTTCCTATATCAGGTCTTGGCTTTCTTCTTCCGGATTGGTGTTCAGAGCCTCGCCCGCTTTTGCTCACTGAGTAGATCTGAGCACGTCTCTGAGCCCCCGGATCTGATCAGAGTGCATCACGTAAGCGCTCTGATCCGCTCGCCGAGCAGGTGGTCTGATCTCAATAACACGTGGACACGCTGGGCGTATCCACAAAGTCAGAAAGCACCAGCACCTACAATTTGCCCAATGTATATCCTACTGGACGCTTGCTGCTATACATTGCATCACAACTTGTGATGGACTGTTCCTCAACTATATATGGGAGATTTACCGCGGTGCTGTGCGCACATCTCAATTTGAAGTGCGTTGTGATTATGGGTGCTGATGACGATAAAAAACAAAACAATGGCATTCGTGAAATAGAAAAGCTCGGCGCCCTGCTTCTGAGGGTGCGATGCCTATCTGGAGCTGCCACGCTCCGCACTGCAATCGCCGAGGCTTTTCGGTATGTGGCTCTGTACTATGATACGGCGTACTACTTGATGGGGGGCGTTTCGGGCCCCCAACCTATTCCTGGGATGACGGCGACTTTCCAACAGCGTCTTGGTGCAGAAGTTGCGAACCAATTTCAAGTCGAGTCGGAGAATCAGCCAGATGCACTGGTGGCCGCGATTGGCACTGGTACTGGTGCAATCGGCCTCTTTCGACAGTTTATTGACAGCGCAGGAGTAAGACTCGTCAGAGTCGAAAGTGCGGGAGCATCATCGCTGACCAAAGGCCCAAGTGGGTGTTCTTCATGGTACAAAAACACTGGTACTACGGCATGACGAAGGCCAAATTCTCGACTCTAGTTGCGTTTCTCCCGATCTAAATATTTCCGTCGTCGGTCCAGAAGTCGCCAATTGGAAAATCAGTGGTCTAGTCGAGATATACCCCGTAACAGACGAAGAGGCACGCAGAGGATTGGATATCTTATCTAAGTATAAGAAGGTCAAAGCCGGCTTGGATTGCAGTCATGCAGTGATCAAGGCGATGGAGATAGCCAAAGAATTGGGCCCGGTGAAGCATGTCATTCTTTTGGCGACCGGTGATGATGCAATTGACACATAGACTGATTTGTTTTGGCCCGGGCTCTCCGAGACTCTCCGATGGAAAGTTGGAACTGAATTCGTCTATCAATCCCCCGAATCCATGATATTTGCATAACCGAATATCAATTCCTCGGTCTGTTGCATCTTGATCTGACACTCCGAAGATATTGATGATCTGGGGAAATTACTTTACAAGACCAACTTGATGGCAATACAATCCGTTACGAATGACCTTGAAAGTAACTCGAGAATAGATATCAAAGATATCAAGTCTCTGATCCAGAGTTTTGTCGCGTAGGACCCTTCTACCGGGAACTTCTGGGAGGCGTTTGTTCAATGTGGGGGTATTCAGCCATTTGGGACCTCAAAGACACCGAAATAGTCTACAAGCCTTGGCTAATAAATCGTGAAGTTGAGGAATTGATGAACTTCTAGACGTCATGATCCTGTTGAGTTGGACATTTGTTGCAATTACCGTAAATGATCGAAGGCATAAACAATCAGTGCTATAGGGTGATTTGTGAGGCCCAGACGCCGAATCAGTCAAGATCAGGTGCGAACTGGTTTGAACATCACTGTGCAAGGGCTTGAAGTCTCCTGACAAATCTGAACCTGACTGATGACTCATAGTCCGCCCATAGCCTAACAATGTCATACACAATCTATAGGTGTGATTGGAGAGACGGTCTTCACCCAATGATGCCCGAGCACAAGAAAGAGATCCATGTTGTAGGGAAATGCTCAAAGCTTTGAGCTGAATAGTTGGTGAGACTAATATTCTGATAGGCTTTAAAATTTCAAAGGAAAAGATAGCGATACTATGATATTAGAGAGACTTGCTTGGTTTCGCCATGGAGGCTACTTATCCCGAACACCGCGCAAAGGTGCAAGTCGTGTTCGAGTGACGTACACAGGACCCGTACGCCTGGGTTCGATGGGGATACAGACATCAGGACAATGCAAAGCAATGGGAAGGGCGGGGGCGCGGTGAGGAGCTACAGCAATGAGCCTTGAATAGCCTACAAGCGAGACTTACGGCTTGTCGCTGTTGAACTGTAGCTTTACGAAGATACAACTACGACTGCTGTCGACCGACATTGCAGCGAGTCAGGATCTATTTAAACACTACTACATGTGCTAAATATAGTCTCAGTGGCATCCAAAAGGCAGAATACAGCAAGATTGATTTGAAACGAATCTAAATGCGGCGGACTATATTTGGAGAGAGGCAAGATCGGTGCCCAGACAGATTAATCAGCCCGAATCGACAACATACTGTGGAATGGAGCAGCACATTGCGCGTGATAATTCTGACGAACATACGATTATTGAACAAGCACTTCTTCGACAAGTGAAATGTCCATTGATGACTCAAATCAACCGCTATACTGGCCACTGTGCTTCTAAGTTGTTAGGTGCTAATTAAAGCTAGATGATTATTCGCTGCCTGGTCACAACAACTTCCTGCCCGGTCATTTGGCTCTATAGCTGGTACAAGCATTAATCTGAAGAATGGCTCATCAGGCGCGAAAAAACGATTCTTTGCCGGAAGTGTTCTGCGGCGAAGAACAGAAAGCCATTACTCCTCCAGATAGGAAATCAAAAGTAATTTTATGATTGACCAAGATCTAAAACCATCGACTAAAAGCGACCTAGCTACAATATTCGTAGCAAAGTCGAAGAATAATCACCTGTATTAAGATCGATTGAAACTCCGCGATCGCGGCCAACGTGTATAACATGGATGAGACAGTGGTAAAAAGCCCAACGCTTCCGAGATCGCATTTACGAAGCATTCTCTTCTTCTGCAGCAGAATGAAGAACTGTTTCAACAGAATAACAAAAAAAATCAGACAAGTTGTGAAAACGCTGATTTTTAGTAACGCTAAGGCTATGAGGCACGAGGATATTCTCGAAGCAAAGCGTAAAAGAGAGAAAAAGGAATGCGCCCAGGTGTTGACGAAAACACCAAGAGCTAGAGGAGAGCGGCCATGAATATGCTTATTGACCTATGGAGGAATATTGCTCTGTTCTTCGATTTTAGACAGCATTGTTCTCAATACATGATCTACAAGGATGGGATCAACGAGTTGAAATAATAGCTACTTTTACTTTGCCTTCAATCCCCATGACATGACAACCGAAGTGCACATTTAATTCAGGTTGAGAATTTACATAGATCAGCACTATACCTACCAATAATCAGCTTCGCTCGTTCTTCTCGAATATATTCCTACCCGCCATCGAACACCGTCAATTCAATCTCGTCGTCCTTGTTGATCATTCCCAGCCCGGCCAAAGCATCGACAGTTTCATTAGTATTGTAGCATTCTGCGTGCCATCCGCTCGTTGTTGCATGCCGAGTCTTCATCGGAAATTCTCTCCCGTTCAGTGTTTCTAAATGTGGTTGAAATCCGGCAGCCGGACGGATGGATCACTGCACCACAAGTCCTAACGACATTTGGCTTGTTGGAAGATTCTGGAGCCGGACGCCTAGTCCAATTTGCCAGCGCCGGGTTTGAACGTCTTTTTTCACAATATCCTCGATTATAGTACAATCTCAATCTTGGTGAGCTCTTATTGGGATCAGTCATTTCCCTTCAAAGCATGGGTTGGAGGGCTAGAGTACCCGAGCCATGCGTGGTTAAACGGAAGAGCAAATTCAGACTTCGGAATTGATGTATTGCCGTAACATTTTATTATAATGCACTGAATACAGTATTAATCGTGACATATCGTAACAATCTGTCATAAATTCCGTCATAATAGATGCACGAGTGCAGTTACTGCAGTTACTGCAGTCGCATGAAGTACCCGGAACCAAACTTAAAACGGACCGGAACTTAGTCGCGAGATAGTAAACCCGAACATCGAATGTATTGTCAGCCGGCAGGGCAGCGGTGAGAATTTTGGGATGACGATATTTGGTTAGAGCGGGGACTGTCGCGTATATAAATAGAGTGTTCCAGAATATGAGATGAATCTGGTTGGGCTTTTAGAATATTCAGATGGTCGATACTCGTTCGCATAAAGGTTGCCTCGAGCTGGGGGACACGACTTTGCCTGGTCAAGAAAAGTATCAGATATACAAGAACTATTGGCAAATCGATTCCATAAGTTTGACTAACAATATATAAGCCGTTCTATCATAAAGTCATCATTGGATCTCTACAATAAAGATCCACATCTTGTTTATCGCTAAATTAGGATTCATGCAAATGGGCAAAAAGCTTTCCGAGATTACGCAATCAATGCGCGTAATTCAGATCGATATCTGCTCTACTAAATTACATACATGCCATAGTAACTTCGCACGTTTCCATAGGAAATCAGCGCATTGTGTCGTCCTTTTCTCCTCGTAGGTACTCATTCGACAAGTTCTTCTCAAATATGTTGATACAGCAACGTAGGCTTGGGAAGACTTACTTCAACCATTATTATATCAATAGTCTTTCAATGGTCAGCGAGTTTGGTTATACATCAGGTTCTAGTATTGATGTGAGAACTTGATCAAAACAAATAAAGTCAGGCCTCCTCCGTTAGTATTCAATTCCATCCAATTACCGATAGATTCATACATAAATGCATAACAACAGGGAGTAGATCATAGAATGATGAGACTAGGTAATTTCCTATAATTTGATGGGCTTTTGAGAGTACATATGTTTTTTTAAAAAATCCTATACGTCACCGAATACCCGAATACTGTACCAACTATAACGCCTCCTCCTTTTAGGGGTTTCAAAGCAGTTACTATTGACCACGGGATCATTAAGTACGAGTTCTCGAAAGCAGACGTAACAACGTGCAACAATGCTGGATAATTGTCATATCATTGACTGCTGAGGCAGTGGCGGGTGGATCCCGCGTTTTCATTTGCACCAACTACCTACTTACTGGGGGTCAGTCAGGGCTCCCTCACACCCTCCGCCAACACCACCGTCACCATGACTCAAGTGAGGAATTACTCTAGACGAGTGGGCTTTCCCAATATTTAATCAATTTGTCCCCTACCAAATTATTCAGCAGGACGTCTAGTGATTTATCCTACGCCATACAAACAGACGACCATCTTCTATTAACTTGTTACCCAGATCAAGCTCAACCCGTGCTTCATTCACACCGAGCGGCAATAGAATCATGCGATTCACGATGTGTTCAAACTGCCATCGCGCCATTGATGTAGACCCAAAGGCTACGCCGCATAGCCAGCCCAAAGGTGGATTTTGGTGTCCAGGACCAGCGAAGCTCTCTTGATGTGTTCTTTCTGCCCTTGCGACCTGCTCGATATAAAATAACAGGCTTTTCATATCGAGGCTGAGCATCCGCTTCTGCTTCACGAATGGTGACATGGACTTGGTCGAATTCATGCTGGCTGGCATAGCGGAAAGTGAAAGGAAGGATAGGTGAGATATGGAACTCCTCTCTCACACTTTGTAGTGCTGGAGGTCGTGGGGCCGCACAAGGAATTGTTGACTAGAAGCAGACCTTCAATTGATTTCCTTGGTACTTATCCACTAACGTAGCGGGACATGGGAAAGAAAAGTTCGAATAGCATATCGACACAGCCTTTAAGACAGGTACGATCGTCGAAAGGGCGCAGAAGCCAACCCAAGACAGGGGACGGACCAAATAAAGATTCAACTGTACACTTGAAGTCGAGATATGCGAAACGTCGTCTTAATTGGGCAAAACCCGCATCGATAAACATCAATCTGAACGCGTGTTCTCACTTTTACCATTCTCCGTTGTTGAAACGTCGGCAAACTAGGTCAGTGACGAAATTAGACAAGACCGAATTCCGTTATAGTACCATTCATTCAAATTCCATCTTTAATTAGACGATTAGAGTTACACCACCTTCTCATGGGGTCGCGCGGTAGGGTTTAGCCTATCTTGAAACGTTACGCTTCCGAAGCAAATTCTGGGGCTGGATTAGGTGAAAGCAGTCAATCGCGTCCACTAATTTTCGTACTTCTCTTAGAGTCCAAGGTTATCATGAACGCGATTGACTAACGATATTTTTTGGGAGGGGATGAAATCTATCTTACACAGCAGCGATTAGCTTCTGCTTTCGCTTGCCGGTGCTAAAGCAAATTCATATACTGATCACCGTTGTGAAAGGCCATCATGAGTTTTAATTATATAAATCATGGAATCAAATACAAAACTTTCGCAAGATTCCGGCCGACAAAGTCGCTAGATACTGTTACTACTCTTACCCAAGATTTTTGGTGATCCCACGGGTGCTGTCAGTACAGACACCTCGCTATACCCGAAACCCCTGTCTTTCCTCTTAATACTCCCTTCCTTTTTTGATGCCTGCAAAGTTTCGTGCGGCTTCTTGTATGATCTAGGATACCAATACGGAGCATGTATACATAATGGAATATACATGATGTATATTGGAATCCGACAGCGGCCGCCAATTCGAGTGTGTTCTACCTTTTCCCTTTTCTTTCTAAAAAGCATACCTACAGGTCTGCAGAATGCAGATTTTTCGAATTTCTGCCACTTTGTCCTTAGATAAAGCGATGTCCCCTTGCGCGCCAAGAGATCACGCACATTTCAGGCCCCTCTTCAGCCGACGTTGAAATGTCACGTGCTAGTCCCGGCAGAGCCTTGAAAGGAGCCTGAGGCTAATATGTAAGTCTCATAGGTGCCTTGGTACATTCCGTCTGATCATCAAAACACCACATGCGTTCAACCATCCACGGAAGTCCTCTGCTGTTCTCTCTGTGTCCCATTCAAGGAATTCAGGTCGACGTCTCTGCATACCAGTGTTGCTTTTCCACCTCATAGTGTAGGATCAATTCCGATAGCAATGTCTTTGGTCGATTCTTGATCAGCTTCACCTAACTAAAGCGTTCACAGTCTCTTTTACTTTGAGAAAGGTGATGGCCAGTACTCCGAATGAAACCCTGGCACAAGGCGATAACTACCCAGCTTCTTTCCATTCCTATGTTCAGGATCTTCTGTGGGAATTCTCCTATGCCTTTAACAAGGCGACCGATAAATTGGCGAACATTTACAGGATATCAACACCCAACCAGCCTTCTTCATGCACGGCTTCACCAGTATTGCTCCTTATTCGATTCACCAAAACTTATGTCTTTCGTTCGACAAGCACGCCATTCCAAACATCCAACAGACCAAATCATAGCTCCCATGAACAAGGTAAATTAGGAACTCTCCTAATGATATCTATATTCTCCAAAGGCTATACTGACCCTATCCGACGATTCTTAAGACCATCTTACGACCGATGTCTTTTCTCCACGAAGAAAGTCCTGCTTTCAACGCCAGGCACAAGTCAGAGCGCTATGCCTTACTTTCTGGGGGCATTTTCACGATATGATAAAGCCCCATCAGTCCCCAAAGAATACCGAGGCGGAGCTCAGCCTCGCCCTGTTCCTTGACTGCGCGTTGAGGATCTACGAAGTGGAAAATCGGACTTTCCATACAAGTGATTGACCTAGCTCTGTGTCTCTCGCTGCGTACAAACTTGGCTCACGCTCCAGGACCGAAGAAGACAATTTCACCCAGTTGGTTCGATTCCAGTCTCGTTCAGTCGTACTTGATTTGGGTAGCCACGGTCTCGTCTGGACCAACACAATGGTCAATAAACGCAATCTTAGCGGGACGCGGAGTGGCGGAATGTATGTTGTAGGCACATTCAAAGCAATTGGGAGAAGTCTACTCCCGGTCGCTGTTTGGCCTGAAGTATATATTGAGGGAATTCTCAAGCTTTCCCATAAGACTGTATCTAGAATCTCAAGTTCGCGGTATCATAGCTACTGAAGGGCTGGATTGTGAAGATCGCTTATCAAACATTACGACAGATTGCATGGCAAGGTCTGGGGACAGTAGAGCTTTTCGCCGGAGAATTGCTTCCTAGAAAATGCAATTGATCTCGAGGCTCGATAGCCCCATCACGCAAGCACTGAGAGCATATATTGACTCGACCATTCGACGCAAGGTTAAACATTTGGTCAGTGAAGCGAAGCAAAAAAGCGAACAATATTTTGAGAAAGCCATGGATACGCTCTTAGAGGAGTCTTCCGGTCGACTGTATGACTTGATCCAAGGGGCTGGAAGCGGCCTTCGCGACCAAGCCGACGATTGCATGGTCGAAATCAAAGACACAACCACGGAGGGTCTGGAAGAATTGAAAGAAGAAACACAAGAGCAAACTGAGGCAATGGATGATTATTCGACCGAGCGGTTAGACATGATCAGCAATGCTATACCTAGGCCTGAAAGGTGCCTCTGTGCCCGACGCAATTCTATATATAACCTACATTCTACTGCTCATGTTTGTCCTCAGTCTCCATTCTGTACCAGAGTTTCATGAATCCTCGTGACTCAACGATACACATGAAGCACGGAAGCTGTTCATGTGATCACGCCAGAGCTTATGAGGGATCTTAAGGATCTATTCCGCTTTTATTGTAATTATCACGCAGCGAGGGCACTTGCCCGAGGAAGAATTGATACCTTTGTAATTCTAGGTATCCTGAGCGGAAGAAGCAAGATCGACGTACAGGAAGCAAAGAGAGTTCAAGACAGGGAAACGATTGAATTAATGATCGGCGAGTAAACAAGATAATAAGCCCGTGACTTGGTCGGCATTACGAAGTATGAGGATTACTCTTGAATATCCTTCGTCTCCTCTTGGCCATCATTATGCACGGTGAGTCAAACCATACCCTCGCTTAAAAGAATTGCTCTAGCCCCAAGGCTATTGTGAAAGAGCTGCAACGATGGGAGATCTTGAGTTACATAGTGTTTGTAGGGCGCCATACTGTCACTCACCGCAGCCCATAGCCTAGCAAGAGCCTCTGCTCCATAGCAATCTCACACCTCATCCCTCCCTCACATCGTGTGGCTGCACCTACTGTAGCTGTATCCATCACATGAATGCTTCAACTGATTATACGAGAGCAGTGGTAGTGTTTGGATGATTCTGCCGACTCACCACCGAGGGACCCACAAACCCACACATTAGATAGCCTCTCTTCCGTCATACCTTTCACACCAATCAAGTTGTGTTTCACCTTCCTCTTTTCCTTCCTGTAGATCAGCATCTACAAATAGATAGCAATGCCGAAGTAACGCTTCGGAAGGCTTTGCCAGGCTATGCCCGCATTCCATATCGTGGCCTACCCAATAAATATACGCGGACAGCCCGCTGTGTACTTTGCCTGTCGCGATTTATTTTTCTTTCTTGAATGGAACTTTCATGATCTGAGTAATCCGCATTATAGGTCCATATTATTACTACTGTATTCCCGATGCTTCCTTTCTCTTTCGATGTTCCTAAAAACCCATTGACTGCTTTACTATTTTCATCGATAGTCTTCGTTTTTATTCTCTGTTTTTTACGTTCGGTCATCTTCTCATTCCCGACCTACGATGTTGTCAATTTATTATTGCCTGGGTTCCAAGGCCATATTCTCCAAGCAGATTTAACCAGTGAGGTAAGCATACATCAGAAGCAAGGTCTTTTATTTTTCAAGCTCACGATGTCCAGAACGACGAGTCAAAGACAATGCTCGTTACCTGCCCTGCACGTGTCAAACCGGATTCTTGCGGCATACCGGGAAACGGACTCACCGTAATAAGTGCTGTTAGCTCCGTTCAAGTAGCAAACGTCGACAGCTATGGGCGGTAAGTGATGAGCCGTTGTCGATGACTTTTCAGATACGGCCTGACATCGGTGATACAGAACAGCATCACTTTCCTGCAGTATTGAAGGATCACTCTACGCATTTTGTCATGCAACATATGGTACTGTCAACGCTCAAGGTACACTAGCATCTAAAGATCTCAATTGGATGCAAGTACCTATTGTCACGCCTTTAACGTCGGAGACCTTGTAGGGGCTGCGCAGAAGTTAAAGACACATTTTCCGGGCCCGACAACACAAGGGCCCTCGTCCTGTCTTGGGTTCCCACCACAAGTTGGCATAGACCGGAGGCAGTGTTCCGAGGCTAAAACGCCAGTATGTTATATCTGATGGCCACTGCTGCGTTTTTCCTTATTCGCTTTTTGTATGGTTAAAAAAGACCAGATGCAACACGAGGGTTGCCGAGGCGGGTAACTACTCAAAACAGTAGAGTTTGGGATCCAAAGTAGCGGCATAAGCACACTCCGTTGAATGAGTCCACTGGAGATGCTCGCCACCTGTGACTTCGCTCTTATAACGCTGGAAACTGCCGATTTATTGGTATGAAACATATTCAAATAGCCCTGAGAGATCAAAGTCCATGTATTTCACTCACTGTAGCGTCGATGACAAAGATGCCCAGATATGTAAGTTAGGAATGACCTAACTCATCAAGACACCATAGCTATTGTGCTTTGTTGTCCTCGGAAATATATATGGAGGTTCTTTTCACTATGGTCTCATTACGTATGTAGTGTCTGTCCCGTACGAGATAATGACTCAATGCTTAGATCAATTTAAAGCGTCGTTCTTAGATACAGTACGGGCTGTAACCGCCACTGCAGCTCATACTTGGGGCACAAGTAGCTCGTGGGGTCCATATACTGTTGATACACTGCTCAATCGCATTGCCGTTACATTGCCAGACATTGTCTATACAAGCGATTTGAGATATGGCGCTCGTGGAAGTTGCGGGCAGTGTTTTCGTGACTGTGAATAATTCGCTCTTGGTTGAATCTTGGACGGTAGGTATACTTGGATGGCTAGTAGAAGAGCTCGCTTTTCCCGAGTATACGTCCTCCGAGTGATCGAAGTCATAGATCTGTTCATCGAGTATTTTCACCGAGACAGCAATTAAGCCGTCTCGGCAAGCAGTTCCATTAGAACCCGAAATTTGGTCCAGTATTGAGTATGCCGTATCAACACAAACCTTTCTATTGTGTTGTGTGTCCAAATGATTACCTCCTGGTGGACTGTAAGTACACCTTTCGCAGCCATCAATGACAAATAGTTGATCTTCCGACTCTTGCCCGTTTACCGTAAGAACCACCCGCTTGCCGCAATAGCGAGATGGATCGGTCCGTATAAGTTCGCGATCAATAGCCACTCCACGATTGGTGTTTAGTTGGTCTAAGGTGATCAGGTTGTAACCACCACACATAACACCACCCCCATTCTGCGATTTGAATGACGTGCCACAAGTATTGATTGTCTTCACATCGTAGTAGTAAGTAGCGAGCCCCTCACAACTATATATTATATTATCAGCCGGAGAGTTGAATGTTTGAGAGTAACTAACTCTAGGTGTTGGATGTGGAGACATCTTACGTATATTATTGTTCAAAATCCTGGGTTTTTGGTCAACAGCGTGGAACGTTCGGAGCACACACTCAGGTCTATATTTATTTGTAATCTACAACAGCAGTCTTGAGAGCTATGATTAAAATTACAGTAATGAAAAATCCGGCTTTCTAAAGAGCCGGTGTGGGTGTAAGCCGTGCTCTTTGATCGCGGTCGACCAAAAACAAAATAGAGCAGTCCGACATCATATTCTAACCGCGCTTGGAGTCGGCAATAACTCTTCCAGGCCTGAGCTACATTGTATGCTGAAGGTATCCAGATGACTGGCTTTCGTTTATCAAAAGAATGGTGTGGAAATTTCTTAATCTATTCCTTGCCATTCCTCTTACCTTTCCAAATCCATACGGGGCTAAGAAGGTATTGGTGCATTGTTCAAGTCAAAAACAGTATTTAAAAGACGATCATGGCTAATGCAGAGTAGCAAAGGTGGAGAATCCTCTAGTCTTATTATTCTTTGACCAGCTTCCACTTGCTTGAAACTAATGAATCTGTCGGGTAGTGAACGAAATTAATTACTAGTAGAGGAGGCCTGACTTGAGTCGTATTAATCGAATTTCCATGCGATTACTCGAGCCTTACATATGACTGTGTTTGCTGACTATTAATCGAATGTAGGCTATCAGTGTAATCATAATTGAGGTGATTCCTCCTAAGTATGCATTACTGTATCGGCGTATCTGAAAAGGAATTGTCAAATGAGTACCTGGGACGAAATGAAGGTCGATAAAATGCCCCGATTTTCTATGAAAAGGTGTCAAGGTACTTCGGCATGTATGTAAGTTAGTAGAACAGATGTAAAGTTGAATTCTGTGTATTGATAGCTTATTTGCGGCAAGATTTTTGTCCATTCGTACGAATCCGTAGATTAGTGATGAATGAAATCTGAGTCTCCAGAGCTCCGGTGATGGTCCTCAAGATAGAACGGCTTTCATTTCGTTAGTGAAATATATGAAATTGAACTGCCCATAATTTCGTACTGTATGTAAGTGGTTCTTTGTTATTTCTGGCTGGGTGAGTCTCCTCGAAAATGCGTTTCAAATGTTTCATACCCGGCCCATGATTTTCGATATTCTCCGATCTCTTTTGGAGGTGGTGGTAATTGATACTCTTCATCCGATAAGCCAAGTTTTATCGTTTAGGGTGGCAACGTCATTATTCTTACATTTGGTGCATATGAAATTCGAACTCTTCTTGACTAGTAGCATGCAAAGTCGATCGTAAATTCCTCATATAGTTCCCCGTGATGAAAGTCTGAATTTTGATACACTTCCCGGCGATTATTTGGAGCATGAGGTACGACGGTATATTCTGCCTGCAAGCAGACACAACGGTAAAAGAATGGGTAGACTGGCCTGAGCGCAGCATGAAATCATGTCGAAAATAGACATCGTGGTATTACTTATGGACTTTCTATGTCTTTCTCCAAGTCCTGAGCCTCAAATTCACATTTGGCTGCCATTTTCCAATAAGCCGACGGCCAACAGGCTATTCAATTCGAATCTTCCTGATTCAGTGTCAAGCTTTTTTTAACAACAGTGTTGCTTCAGCGTTTCTTCAAAACTTGAAAGTCTTGCTTTAGTGACCCATCCACGATATTATGGCTTATAGCCCCTTCTCACCACCTCTTCAGTCCGAGCTGTACTGGCCATGCTTTTATGAAGATTCCGATTCGAGGCCCCCGACAAAGACGATTTTATGGAGTGCAATTATATTAACTACGTACGTCTTCTTGGGGTATTACCTTTCATGAGGGGCGTGACTAAAAAATCCAGCGCGCCACTTGCATACGACCAGTTCCCCTCAGGCTATTGCCTTTTCGGAATTAGTCATACATTAGTCTTATCAATCCTTGTATTACTAGTAAATACAGCTCAGTGTCATCGAAAAGAGATCTATGTCATGAACAACCTCGAGGGTACATTGGAGCTATATCCAGCAGACAATAACTATCTACCTACCTACCTACGGTACATGGGCATGCTCTACTACCTAATACTGAATCTGTGATTACAACATGCGATGTATGAGGTATATACCGCACTAAT